TACTTCCTCAGCGAGACTCGCAGTGTCCCGCGGGTAGCAAACCTGAACCTTCACCCCAACAATCCTCTTGAGCGCCTGGATCACGAAATCATTGCATCCTCTACGAACATCTGCCGACAACATTGGCTCAGTCCCTGATCGAGCCACAATCCCAAGAGGACCAGATCACACCGAGTAAGCGCGATGTAATAATGTAACAACTACACGGCCCAGCCGAAGCCGAAATCTACACAAAACAGAGGCCCCGCTGATGAAATCTTGAGCTGCTTAACCAGTTGAGCTGGAGTCACGATTTCAAACTCGCGCCGTCCAACGCTGATGCGCCAGGAACTGCGTCCTTCCTGCATCACCAATGCAAACCGGAACCATCTGAAATCTGATTCTTCGCATCTCCAACAACTTGCCGGGACTACTGCAAGAAGCTGCCTCGTCCCTCCTGGGCGTGGCGAAAAAGGAGGCCCAATCGCAGTGCCGAGCAAAGGTGCGAGCCATCCCTGGGACTTTGACGTGCTGAGATCGGGAAAAGGTGAATCACAACAGTACGTAGCTTCTGCTAAATTTCTTGATGAAGTCGACATGAATTGGCTTCCATTCTGTCGGAAGTGGGGCGAAAACAGTAAGTTCAGCTCGTCGCTACTTGTCGTTACTTCGTGTTGCGGTTTGTGACCTACTGCTGTCTGCTGTCGCTTCGGCCAAGTCGCTTCTAATGGGCGCGTAGTCATTCGGCAGCGCCGCCAAATACCTGGGTGGCATGTTGAGTTGACATTTCAACTAAATTGAGTCGGACTCTGAATCATCATTGTTCGTACCCATCTTGCAAGCGAACATTGGCGTACATGCTTCTGGCAGGATCGCCAGGGGCATTGCCAATGCCTCATGCTTGAAGAGCTGCAAACATGCCACGCGCTGGGCAACACCTTCTTGCACATCTTGCGCAGACGCCTCGCCGGAATGAGGCCAAATCAGGGGCTTTTGCAAGTTTCGTTGGTTGGCTAGCTGTGCATGCCCGCCTCATACTCTGCATCTGCGGCATCTCGGTTGCAAGTCAATTCTCCGCCAGCCCAGGACAGCGGTTTTGGCAGGAACTTCCGTCCTGAATCAAAGTTTATGTCTCATCCCCAGACTGAACCTAGTGACTAGTGAGATAGGCAACATCATCCAAGCATCCAGAGTTCAGGATCTGAGAAGATTTCGCTTTTGGGTCGAAGGCTACAATTTCTGGACTGAATACCTGTCACTTGTGCTGCATCACAGTCGCACAGTCTGCGCAATGGGTTATGCAGTTCAGGGGTTCAGACCCAGCAGTTACAGTTACGATGATCCTCCTTCACTTACTTTCCTTGCCCTCATCAGTTTCGCATACAGAACAGTAGGCTTTTCAGCCTTTCAGCCTCTACGTAAGCAAATCAACTGATTCAGATGCTTGAATGCAAGCATTCGGAGGCCTGAAGCGTAGGCTGCATGAGCTGCGCGAACCTTCATTCCAATACGACTTCCATAGATCTTGTCTTCCATGGATCTTGTCATTGCCCTACCGACACCCTGGGCTTTGCAAACGAAAGTACATCCCAAATAGGTTTTCCTTCTCGCATGGCCAGGATCAATTCCCACAATCGAAGTTTCACAGGTTTGAAACACGCAAGCAGCATTCCCCCTTGGAGTGAAGCGGTTCGGTCTCAAGGTCTCGGGTTCTCTATCGTTCTCTCATAGCTGTATCCCCTGACATGCCAGGCGATGTCTCTGACGAGCGATGCGGATCTGCACGAGTAGCAGCTGCAGGGCTTGGGGATGTTTCGGGTCAACGAAGCAATCGACTCTTCCGACTTCTCTCAGTCTGAAGTCACTTTTCTCCCTTGGAACAGGTCAACGGAATAGTTAAACCTGAATCACTTCTTTTGATCCCCTGTCAAACACCTTCGCCTCTGCCTCGAAAACAACCGTCAGTTACTCTACATACAACTGAATTTGCACAAACTGGTTAGACAAGAACTCTGCAGGTTGTTGATGAAGCACAGGACTGTTTCAGACCATGTAAACGGATGCTAAGTACAGTAGTTCGACCCCCAACGAGTGGCTGACTGACATGGCGAGGTGTTGTTGCCAAGAGTACTCTACTCGTTCTTCTCTCTCTCCGCTTCACTTCACTTCGGCCACCCCGTTCAGGGGCCTTGTGGGGAAGGTCAGAGTCACTTCCGAGGGCTTTTGAAGAAGATATGGTTCCCAGGCTTAGAGGGCTCGCAACAATGGGGCAAAGGTATAGATGCAAGGTGTGTTTCCCCCGGAAGTATCACTGCACAGGACAAGCAGTCGTGCAGCTTCGCACCGCAGTCGCAAACAGCACACACAGTTAGGTACATCAAGCTGCAACTACCATGTAACCCCACCGTGGGGCTGTGCGGGAAAGGCGAAGTGTACAGGACTACAGAAATTCAGTTCGGTTGTTTCGCAATTGCCATCAAAAGGACTAACAGTGACTAACAACCAATTTGAAGTTCACGGCTTCTTGATTTGCGAAACACTCATGGACCCCGACCGTGCTTTGGCTGTCCGGAAGCAACAGCAGCTGGGGCAGGAAAAAGATGTAAATATGGTGCATGATCACATGACTCATATAGCTGGTCTGCTCCCAGGGCCTTTGAGGGATTTGGATTCCCCGATCCCAAGTTTCTTCTTCCACACGGCCAAGAAGGGAGCAGGACCCCCCTCCGCGCACGAGTGCGCCCTGGTTTCCACGGTCTGTCGGTGTGAAAAAGCACGGGATCCCAAGTCTCTCTCTCTCTCTCTTTCTCTCTCCATCCTTGTCTGCGTTTGCGAGATGTTGGCAGTGTGCAAAAAAGCATCAGCTAAACAGATCGGCTGGGGTATTTCCAAACACTGTCCGAAGAAGGACCGTCTCCAATCTTTGGTGCACTCCCAGCCACCTTTGCCAGCAGCCCGGCTGGGCGGAAGCCATGTGGAGGTGCCACACAACCATCGCAAGCAAAGTCATCGAGCAACGCCCAGGGGCAGCTCTGCATCACCTGCAGCAAAGCTTTCCAAACAAATTGTGCTTCGTCCTGCATGAAGAAATTCTTGCGACGGCACAGTGCAACAGGCAAAAAGCCAAAAATCAGAAAGCTTCATAGTTTTGAACTGGAGGTGACTTGACGTGCGTGACGCGCAGTCCATGTAGTCTCGAGGAGCTTGCGACACGCCAGTTCGTTGGCCAGTCCCTCTTGCAGCAAGTTCGTAAGACATACGCAGTCGTTCTTCCACATCTCTGAAATTCCAAAATCATGCAGCAATCAGTTTCCGAACTGTGTTTGCAGCTGAAGGAATGAATCTTTGGCTGGACAAATTCTGTTTCTGCACAAGTACTTGTACGGCAACACTATCTTGTGCAACCTGCACATCCGAAGCCACTTGTTAGAAACCCGTTTTGGGAGTTGATGAAGCGCGAGCCAAACAAGCATAACGGTCTGCAGACGCCCCTCCGAAGCCACCACCAAAAAGCTCAATTAAGGCACGGCCGTCTCCAAAAACAAGACGTTTCTATCCACAGCCTATGGGATTACTCCTAGCCTCTTTCAAGTTTTAAGTTTTCCTTCAACACGCAAACACACAATGCCAGCATTTTTGTTTTTTCATTTCCGTCCTGAGCACTTCACTTGCCGTTGGGTTCTGGAGGATCCACCATGCCGAGCTCCATTGAACGAGTTGACCACACTAGCCGTCCCTAACCTGCGTCCAATGCAAACCAAAACCTTATAGAACCACACCTGGCGCCATTCAACAACTAGAAGCCGGACTGTAAAGAGCCGCCTGTGTGCGACAGGGGATTCCAAGCGAGTGTCATCTGTCAAATCTGGGCCACTGGCCGCAGCAGCTTCGGCAGCATTCCCGAGCTGCGCCAGGAGCAACGACGGGCCCCGATGGGGTGATGCAGCTGCAGCAGCCGCCCCAAGCAAAAAACGAGCAAGTGCTGCTGGGACGCATCCTTAACAGTCACGATCCCACAGGCGAAGACGCTGAGGACTTCACATGCCATTTCAGATCCGCTGCAAGCTAAGACGAATCCTTGTCGTTGGTGGAACAGATCTACACATGAGCGACATATGCCGGAAACACCTAAAGATGCAGCTGACAGCAACGATGCTGCTCTTGCCCTTTCACGAAGCGTCTGTTTCAACCAAAAGGCCTCCTTCCGGCAGATGAAGATGATAGCAGCTCTTCGGCGCATGCTGCCACACGTGGAGAAGGGTCCTGCAGGACTTGCGAGGGCAGAGGCTTTCGATCATGCCAGCGATGAGCAAGTACTCTTGATTTCACTGCAGGGTTTCGAGCTGTCCTCTTCGTCGATGGAGGCGGCAGGCTTATCTGGCTCAGAGCCTGCTGCCGGCGTAGCCCTGCCGAAATCGTGGAGTAAGCACACGGAGAGGTCGACAAAATGCACCATTGCCATCAAATATAATATATTATATCCCCATGATACACCTCCCCAATGCCATGTCAGGGTGATGATGTGACCATGTAACACAACGAGAATCAGCAAGGCTGTTCAGCCGGCTCTGACTCGATCTGGCAGGGCCAACTCTTGGCTGCGTCCTGCTATTCCAGTGTGTTCAAGCAAATGCTCCAGCGACATGCACAGACGTTGCCAAAACAGTGGTATACGGTATACGTGGACTTCTTAGAACGCCCGGCTCCAAGAAACTGACTGTATCCGTGCTTCCACCTCTGTTCTCCTCTGTTGTCAGGTGCGCTGGCTGTCGTGTGGCGTGATTCGAAGTTTGAAGTCGGGGATTTTCCACTTCTGCCAGCAACCCTTCCGAACCCTCCGGATTGACATGACATGTCGCTGACTGCCGGAGAGGCCTGGCTTCTGGAGATCCTTCACAGCATACAGCGGGCTGTCACTCTTCCGATGCGGCGCGGTCCTTCATGAGCCTGTCTTGTTCCCGGACATTGAACAGACCAGGCACTTCATCATGCCTGCAGCGTGGGCGAAGGCACGAGGGATCATTGGCTTCTCCCCCACCTGTCTCCGATGTCCTGGCTGCAGACGCAGCGACCTTTGTTGGAAATGTCTGTCGCCTCCTGCCATCAATTCTGTACCACTCTCTGAACCTTTGGGAATCTGCTCTGCCGTCAGCTTCTGGAGTTGCCTTTTCTGGTTGGGCTGGGTACTGACTGCTCGAGTCTAAGGCCTTCCAGCACGCACATGGCAGTGACTCGGCATGCGCCAGGCTCTGGCTGTCATCTGTCCCTCTTGCTGAACTGCATGATTTCGCCGTCCTGCACGGAGCCTACAGGCAGCTTGCCGTCCAACAGCTTCCATCGCCTTATTGCACTTGTTTACAACTGCATCCCATGCAAAACACGACAGCCAAAGATAGGTCCGATGCAACCTACTGCCGTCCAGTGACAGCTCGCTCGGCTGCAGTGCGCGTGGGAAGGGCGAAGGCAGGCCCATGTGGTGCGCCAGTGCCCGATGTGTGACCTGGGCCATTCAAACACCGTGCCGCAGGCCCTGCAGCATGCGTCTCGGAATGTGAGTGACAGCAGCGGCAAACCCTGCAGTTAGCAGTGACGCACAAGTGCCATCGAGAAGCTAAGCGCAGGAGTGCCGCGTCACCGGTGCAGCGCAGCGGAAGACAAAGCCAAAGCCGAGCCGTGATGTTTGCAAACAGGCTGTGGCCTGTCGGCTTAGGACGGGAGTCATGCACTTGTTTTGATCTCGTCATTGCATGAGGTGCGGTGCCTGCAACACGAGATGCTTCCTCAAGTACTCGCTGCAGATACCTAGGCAGCGAGGCCCTTTGAGAAAAACCAGCACCGGTGCTTTGTCAGCATGTCCTTCTGCAAATGTCGAAAGTCAACACGACTTGCCACGGCCGAAGCCAACTGGCGAACTCAAACCCAGTGAATCCAATGCGCGCATTCTTTCGCGGGAGGTGAAGTTCCAGAGTCGCAAAGTCCTTGGTTCGCCCGAAGCGGTCAGCAGCCATCGGCAGCATGGAACGGAATGAACATGTAGACACAACTAATCAAACAGCAGAAACCCGGGACTACAATGAGCGTGGGCTGGAAATGAGAGTGGCCGCGTTCGCCGACCGGCAAAGACGCTGCGTGTCCTGCACGTCAGGACACATCTAGACCGTGCCACGAGCGGCATGACCTGCCAAAGTCCTTGGTGAACCAAGGGCTGAGCCCCGCCAGAAGCTTGTCATGCCTGAGCCCGTCGGACTCTTAGAGGCTGCAGTGCCTGCTGTGAGCAGATTCCGAAGCCGAACCCGTCATGAGTCTCTGGGACCCACGGCTTCGCCAGCATCTGCAAGCATTCCAGCTCACTGGAAGTGAGAACAGCAGCTAGCCTGAGTTCATGTCTCTTGAACTTGAAATCTGGAAGATGGACTAGGGCCTAAGGACCGTGGATGTCTCATGGCAAGACCGACCAAGAAATGCATTACTCAATGAGCTGCGCAGCCCCAAAACCAGAGCGCTCAGCCACGACGCCATCATCTTGGCCACGGTGGCATGGCGACGAAAAGCAGCGCATCTCTGAGCACAATGCTTAGCCATGAACCTGCTCTTGCTTTGTAAGTGTAGGTGCTCGGGAGAAGCTTCGGTTACTTCGGTTGGCATCCAGCTGAGCCGACAGGACCCGACAGACAAATGACCCTTGCCTCCTGCACATACGGCAGTCAGGAGCTGTGAGGACTTTGGTTCTTTTCGCGCTTGTTGGCCTGGAGCTCGGCAAGACAACGCTTGTGCCGCTTTGCGGCCAACAGGCTCCAGTGGGGTCCGCGGGAAGTGCAAGCTCTTTTTCGGATTGTGCGTCGTCTCTGGGTTGAGCTGAAACCTCCCCGCACCAGATGCTGCCCGTCGGGCAACTGACGTGTTGAATTCCCTCGCCTGCCAACTTGAAATCGTCCTCAGGCTGCTTCTTGGCATGCTGGGCATGTGTATGTTTCAGTCCAATGACATCCCAGGCAAGTGCTCTAACTTAGCTACGGTGATCAAGGTGTCGCAAGGCTTTCTCTGACGTGGCTTAGCTTCCCACGGCGGCAGCCAGTGGCTCAGGATTGGTCAATCAAAGGCGCGGCGAGGTGGCAAGAGGCCGGCAAAGATGCTGCTGTGAATGCAGAACAATACTTGGCCCCTTCTTGGTTCACTTGACTTGGGGGTTTCCGAAAATAGGGGACCCTAATATGGTACCCCAAATAATAGGATCCCTATTATAAGGACCCCAAAATAAGGTACCCCTTATTTTGGGAAACTCCCACTTGTAGCTGTGGCCGTCACGGCATGACGGTGCCCAATAGCAGCTGCCGACCTCGTGCGGCTGCAGGCTGAGTGAGACGAGATAGCGAATCGCGAGACCTGCAGAACTTCAGGGTCGAAGGTAAGTGGACACCAGGGGGGGGGGGGGCATTCAATGTCCATACAAACTTGCAAAGCTGTTAGGCTGCAAGCCTCGTGTGCAGGATTTCACAGGCCGAGCAGGAACAAGCACCATCGAAAGAGAACCAAGCATGAGCCAAGCAGCCCCACCATATCAACAGCATGAACCAATACTAACAGCAACAAGCAAATGTGCATGATACCAGGCTTCCAGCATGACCCCTATGGATCCAAAGCCTGAGAACCCCTGAAAGTTTTGGTTGATGAGGACATACTGATATACGCGCATGTACCACCACGATCGTCATGGCACCTGCATGCAACATCGACGCTAGGAGAAAGCGTGTCTGTGTGCTTGGATTTGTTGACAGAAGCCGGAGGAGGGAACAGCAATAGAGATGAAGCAGCAAACCAACACAAAGCCAGCCGGAGCAGACACAAGCACAAGCCAAGCACAAGCTATGCACAGCCGACCCACCCTGTCAAGAGCTACTATCTCCGAAGTGTCGGCCTAGTCTAGTCATCGTCATCGTCCATGGCCATGCTGCTACTTGCAGCGCTGCTCCCTCAGATGTGCGATACAGTCCAGGTGTGTGAGGGGCTTCTAACCGGGATCCTCTCTTCTGCCATGCTTCCGCCCATGCTGCTTGATCCGGCGCCGCGGCCTGATGCAGGCGCAGTGTCACTGCAGCTTGGGCAGAGAGATTCTAGCAGCTAGCATACTGCCACATATTGCCTGTGCTGCTGCTCTGCTCACGACGAAGTGGACGACCAACAATAAGATGAGGATCATATTTTCCTAGAGTGCCTCATGTTCATCCTCGTGTGTAACTTCGCCTACCTCCTTGGTCCTTGGCAGCACCCTCCTAATTGTGAATGTCACGATGCCCAAGATTGCAAGTGGTAGTGGGAGCAGCAGAAGTAGTGTGATGCTCGCTGCTGTCTTCAGCAAGCACTAAGATCACCCGTGATGCAGCATTGAGCGACTGTTTCTATCAGTTTTGGATTTTCTGCTGCACTGTCGTTCACCATTGTCTTGTAGTGTGTCACGTCCGTCAGAAAAAAGCGATGCAAAGGAGTACCATGCAACTTCTAATTCCCGGCATCGACTGTCGTTACCCCCTGCTGCCCCGAATGCCTGGGACATGCCTTCAATTGAGGCAAGTTACGCAAGGGGTTGTTGCCCCGTATTCCCGCTACAGTACGAGTAGCACAGCCCCAAGATAAACCGCATAGCTTTCATGTTTAGCTACAATTGAAACGTCACGTGACTATCATGTGCACCTAGACGTGTGCGTTCCAAGAGCTTACCACACGGACTCTCTGCCTCGCTTTTTGCCCTGGGACTTGACCTCGGGAACTCAGCACAAAAAAACGGACTCTCCGGGCAACCGAATGCTATCTCCTCTCCTCACTTTCGGAAGCAACATCCTGTCAGCATCCACTGTCCAGTTGCATCCAGGTCTCGATTTTGGAGAGCGTCTTTTCCTTGGCTGTGGTTGCGGCCAGTCCAAACCACGAGCAGCGGAGGTCTTTCCAGCGTTTACTCGAGGTTGAATGCTTCTTTTTCTGCCTTGCCGTTTGCATCACGACATTCTGCGCCTGTATTCACTGGCGGGACCCTGGTTCAATTTAGGTGATTTCGGTTTGGGCTTAGGACTTGCAGCACCTGTAAAAGAAGCCTTGGACCAGAAATACATAAGTTATCTTAAGTTAACATTGAAGCTTACACTTGCACATCCTACGACAGGCATTGTGCCCAGTTTGGGGTCGTAGTTCCGCGCTTCGGCCGACCATTTTCCTTGGACCTGTTACAGCTCGGGAATGTTGTGACGACGTTGAGGACAAAACGACAGGACGAACACAGGCTAACTCTCCTAGCATGCAGCCACTCCTCTCTTACGTGTGGACGACTCGACGCACGAGCGGAAAGCGGCTGCTGTCATGGCCGAAAGCCCCATCGGCCCCATGTCCTCCGAAGGTCTCAAAGGCCGAGCTGCTAATTTCGCCAGCCGGTCGTCGGCTTCCTGACGTTTTGATGGCGATTTCTTCCGGTCTAGTGGATGACGTACGACAGAAACTTTGACAAGCTTTTCACAAGAAATGGCACGGGTGAAAAGATCTGTCCTCCACCACTTCCCGTGGCCACGGTGCTTGGGGGTCCGTGCTGCCGCCGTAGCGCTTGATGGTGTCCTTCCCAGTCGAGGCTGATGAGAATTATGATTCATTCGTACACCCGAGGCTCCTCGAAGACAGGATGGGCGCTTGCCGGCTCCAGGACTTGTATGCCTCCGGCCAGGCCAACCTTTCGCGAGCCATCCCCAGGATATCTTTCCAAGGGCGTGGTGCTAGAGAAACTCATCAAGAAACCTACGGGTCGTTATCGCACACGTGTCTGGCCGAGCGACATCCCCTTCGTTGAACTCCAAGGGTGTGTCCTCGGCGCGAGGCATATTTCGGTGTGCAACTTGCCTGTGAACGAGCCGCGCCTCTGAGCAAGGAGCTACTCACCACATCATGCATGCTACGCTACCTTGACACTTAAGAGCAAAAGCTTCCACTGCTGCTCAGTCTCCATCGCCAAGCCATTCAGGAAAGCTGACCATCGCTTCCTGGGCTTCGATAACCAAAACTCACTCAGCAAAGCTCTAGCCAAACCCTGCGTGCCAGTTCTTGTGTCAGCCATGAGACAGGAGCAGAACGAGAAAAGAAGGTGTACATGATAAAAAGAAGTCTGAGAAGGTCGTCAAGCTTCCGTGACACGGAGTGCAAAGTACTCGCTGTGATGGCGGCCCGGTTCAAGCGAGCATAGCCCTGACATGGCAGGACTTACAAGAAAACCGGTCATGAGGTCACCTGAGGTCCGAGGTACTGTCAGACTTGTCAGGGCGAACCTTTCTCCCGTGCACGAGGCCTTTTGTGAATTGTACCTTTTCTTGTGCCTCTGGTGTACTGTCACTATACAACAGGTGCTCCGATGCTGCATTTGCATCATGTCAACTTCAGAACTGCTTCCTGACACGCCTGCATGTTCGAGAAGGCATCGTGATAGGATTGCGTCAGCTGCGCGATCAGCAGGTTCCTTTCACGGTAGCTCCGCGATCAGCATGACCCAAAGGCTTCCGATGGACGTGCGAGGCAAGACATTGGTCACATCTGGTCACACTTGCCATGCGTGCAACACCAAAAAGCACGTCTGGCGCCCCTGTCAACCATGCTTGGAGCGGCAATCATCAGATTTCATCAAGGCGCATCAACAAGATGGAGACCACGAACACAAACACCACGACAGGCACAAAGACGATCACAGAGCTCGCTGCAATCTCGAGGTACGTCTCCTGATGGGCATACAGGGGACAGCCTTGCAGCCTCTGCCGCCATGCGGATGCGGTTCACTCCTCTGCGAGTGCGAACTTTCCAAGGTCTAACTACATGGCCGGCACTTGAATTGTCCAGTCTCCTGTGGAAACATCTCCAAAGCCGCTTGCAGGAGTACGTCAATCCACACATGAGCACCCTCGACAGATGGATACTCGAAGTAGAGGGCGCTGATGGATGTGGCAAACCTAACAGTCTTGCTCACAAACAGCAGAATTTCTTACTTATTCTGGATCCGAATGCATGTAGCTGCTGATTGCAAGCAAGGTGCGCGACGATGAGGGACAACAGAGCACACACGAAGAGTGCAACTTCGCCAAGCATTCGCCCACAAACCAGAACCTAGCAAAGTGAGAAAGCTTTTGAGAGATACCAAGTCCAATCCAACTTACTAGCATGCTGCAGATGCATCCCAAGCATGGATTTTCAGTACAAAGCATTTGCTCAAGGACTCTCCAAAAGCAACTCACCAAGGGAACTCCAAGGGACATAGGCGGATATACGCATGGAGAAGATGGCAAGGTCCAGAAGCAATGCCCAGTAGATCATCATTGCCAAAAAAATAGCGATGGAGTAGGAAGGCGTGAACTCCTCTGTAGGGATCATGCATTCAGACGGCTAAGCGAAGCTCGGTACAGGACGACATCTGCAAGCGCCTTTTTGCAAAGGGCCGGGTGTTGCGAAAACACTTAGCAAAAGCTTGATCAAGGCACGTTTATAGGCCGTTATAATTTTCTATAGAGACCATAGTGGCTTCATTGCACATTGCAGATTGGTGTGATTTGAATTGCTTCGGCTCGTGTTTTCGTACTTCTCGCTTCAGGCTGCGCTTAGAGGAGGAAGGGCGACGTTCGCAACAGCCTTTGATCTTCCTCGGCACCCGGGCACGTCGTCGTCAGCGGGAAGCCATCCGGTCCAGTCTGGCCGAAGATCAAGCACAAGAGAAAAGGCTCCTGCTATCCGAAATGAGGGGAGCCAAAGCTTGAAGACGCAAGAGAGGAACATCAAGGGGAGCACAGGTTCTTGCAAACAGTCCTGGGCACAGCTGACAATGAGTAACCACATAAGAATGAAGTTTGTAGCTTCTTGGGTGCTGCGAAGGTATGCAGGGATCCTCAGTTGTCGATCACAAAGTGCTTCTGGGTTACGCACAGCGTACATGTCACGAGCACCTCCTAGAATCTTGCCGCATTGAACTATGTCTTAGATTGGTTGGGCCGGGTCTCGGAATACAGAAGGACTTGTCGATGTTGCCATTTGCACAGTCAGAACAGACCTTCCGCACCGTGCCTGCGAGGAAATGCGAAATCTACAGCGTAGCTTCGTCTGCAGGCCCGCCATGATGCCGCCATGGACACCCTGTTAACTTTCAAGCTTGATGCATATAAGAAGGTCATCTATCCATCTGAGCACTGCAGACTTTCTGCGACTGCTCTGACACTGTGACCATGCCATCCTCCCATCCCATGCCCCCAACTCCAGCGAAGGCTCTAAAAATCAGCTTGCACATCATGCCGAGGTAGTTCAGGATGCGCAGAGCGAACATGACAGTGAGCCTCGGATGGGAATTGAAGCGCCTGGTTGGCGTGCTTCCGACAGTTGCACTTGTGGTGTCACACGCGCGCCAACCCGTCCCCCCGTCTCAAAATAGGGAACTCCCTATGAAGCGCGTGCGCTGACACAAGCTCAGATGTCCAGCGGTTTCGACTCTCGATGACACGTGCATTCCGGCTCATTAGTCTCGCATGTCTCGATGGCTAGCAGCTCTTCTCGGGTCTGCTGCTGACCCGTGTGATTGGGAATGATCGCCTGGGATGTGATGAAGATGACCAGCATCAGCAAGAAGTACCTGCACACCGGACTACACGGGACACAGCGACGAGCAGCTTTCCGTGTGCCCCTGACTTGCTCGAAGATCCCTTTTCGTCCTGCTGTGCAGGGCTTGAGCCGAGGCACAACTTGGAGAGGACGAACTTGTAGCTTGCCAACTTGTACCAGAGCAAGTCTGCAAACCTTGGACTGGGACTGAAACTCCCGACCCATCTTGGCCGATGCCGTGCCATCAAGCAGCATAACCACAGTGGGGTGGCGAATGATCTTGGGATCTCCGTGTGCCACCAGCCACTCCAAATTCATGCTCAAGTTGCCATCCAGGTCCTGGGGAAGATGCGGCTCCCTTACAGCCGTTACCAGTTTAACAGTTTAACAACCACAGATTATGGATCTCTTGTTCCCAGCGGACCCCGCTCCGCTATCTTGACCTATCTCAGGAGCTTCTGAACTCGGCCCCGCACCACCCCAAAACACGCGTCACGAGTGGCTGAGAAATGTCCACAACCCCACAGAACTTAGAAATGCAAGGTTTCGACCCACACCAAGCAGCCTCAAGGAGCTGAATCGTGTGCCCTTGCCAGACTTTACAGACTTCGAGCGATGTCAAATCAAAAATGAGCGCCGATGTCCGCCATAGCGAGAGAGCGACTTACCCTCTGCACGAGCGCGAGCGCCAGGACATCGGACGTTACGACGTCTTCGGTGTCCAGGCACACGAGGCCCGAGCCAAACAACCGCCTCATGCCTACAAGCTACCGGGCGAGCGCGCCCTGCGGCGACGTTTTTAACCCTTTTTGCGAGGACCCCGAAGCTGTAGCACACTTTTTGGAGAACAAGCCGAAATCCTTGGCAAATCCCAAGAATCCCATCAGCCCCCCTTTCTTATTTGGATCGCCCATCCTGGATCAAGTGCTTGACGTAGTAGTTGACCCGTCGGAAGCCTGTTCAGTTTGGAATTTAAGATGGTCAGAGACGGTCGTTCGCACTACGCCAAGACCTTGTCCTGCAATGATGGAGATATACTAGACTAACCACAACAGGGATAACGACGGCATGATCCTCCAGATTGACATCATTTATTCCTGCACTGCTAGATCAGGCCCGCCAAGCCTTCCCGTGTCTGACGAGATCGCCACACCAAGCCGTCAAGCAACCTCAGAAATGAAGAAAAACTTGGCGCTCGCGCAAGGCAGGCAAGCTTCAGGGCAAACGGTTTCGCAGACGGTATTCAGAATGATCAACAACGAGCTTTGAGTTTAGGAGGTGCCTCACTGCACTGCAGCGGGTTTCGCGCCCGAGGGACAAGTGCGATTGGAGGCATGGACAGACGCTGTGAAGCATCCTAAATACCAGTTCCTGCAATACTTTGATTCCGAATCTCCACGCCTAGAGACGTTGGCATCAGTGTCGGGGCTGTTGCGCACAAGCGCTGGACGGCTTCTGGATGACGGGTGAAGAGCGTGTCGTATCCGTAGTAGTACACGTCACCTGCGGCTTTTTATCGCAAGCTGCGACACTGAATGCGTGTCGTTTGCTGCTAGCGGTTCCGCTTCTGAGAGCGCGGCGATCTGCCCGGATCGTCAACAAGTCTTCCAGCATAGCCACTGCACACACTGTTGCACCTCGAAGCAATCACGAGAACGACTCTGGGATCTTCGAGCATTTGCCCCTAGGTTCGCCCTTCACTGCAGTTGTCAGCATAGTCCTTGAAACTCAAAACTCCAAGGCCATGAGTGAGAGGCAGAACGGGCGCCGCAAACAGCAGTCAAGGCTCCACTGTCGATAGCCCAGTAGAAAGGCGAGATCGACTGGGTGCCCACGGTGATACTGAGCAGCTCGCTTGCACGATGTCCTTCGAGGGAGATATGCCCAGTGTGTTGGCCGCTTGGTTGTGTTGAGTTTAAGATGTTCCTACAGATGGGTGTTCACACCCATCGTGAAGCTCTTGGTGTGTTCCTGTAGCATGCGACCAACCGCAGCAAGGGTTATGCAACCTGGAGCCTGACAACAGTGAGCGCCCACCTGCATTCGACTCTTGAAGCTTCCATACTCCCAGTGCTCAGCTGAAGTGGGTGATGTTCGGCCAGTGTTGGTTTTGGCACTCGCACTCGACAAAGCAGGCGAGGGTTGGGGAGGTCCACACATTTC